CACCGGCCAAAGACCAATATATATTACTTTTTTTAACTTACCTAAAGAAGGAAACTTTTCGCCTCTCTTCACCAACTCGATCACTTCTATTTATACAATGTTTTACAATACACTTGCCCATGATAAAACGTCTAATTATCGAAATCACAGCGATGCGTACACGTCAAATGCTAGGACACGACTGAGCGCTGGGCTCCAAATCAGGCTCCAAAGTGTTTTCACCAAAGTCGCTCTATAAGCCAGTCTAGGTGGTCTATAACCAATACCTAATACTTGTTATACAACTGAGGAGTGTTTAGAAGACCATCATGTCGTACCAACAACTAAGGAAGGAACATACATGGCAGGAAAATATGGAGGTTTATCGCGGGCCAGTGATGGTTTATTTAAGCTCACTATGCAATTAGAAGCAGCTTTCTTAGACGTCACCGTCGCGTCGTTGGCACAATCGGACTGAGTCATGGAATTATGTATAAAATATTAAACTGGGTTGAGAAAGTACTACCACAATTATGTTTCGTTGGGTGTTCGATTCATCAGCATGAAAGAACGAGAGAAATTATTGATTTTTGCTTAACTGTGAAGCTTCACTTTTTAAGTAGAACTTTTAATAAAAAAAAACAATTGCAAAGAGAAAAAATAAAAACTTTGAGAGAAAAAACGCAAAACTTGTACAAACAGCAATGATTGTTGTTGTACTGATGATTGCAATCTACAAACTACTGTTGTCAACAGCCAATGCGGCCAGATTGGTATTTGGCACATATCAAAAATATTAATTAGCAACTTTTCGAAATCATCCGATTAATTTTTTCTATAAAATTTCACAAAAGTTACTGTTTTTATTGCAATATTCTACTAATTATATTAGCATTTATTTGTTAAATTTATTATTCGGTAATCTAATGGATATACTTTTAAATAGTAGAATTTTAAACTTTATGATTGTTTTTTATTTGCTGAAATTAATTTTTCAATTGTTTACGGATTTTTTTGTTAAAATATGAGTTGAGATTACAGCACAGTTTACTTTTAATACGCTCTTAAACCCAGTTACTATTTTTTTTATTATTATTAGAATCCATCATAGTGCATCAGAATTAGATTTGATCAGCAGTATGAAAACTTTTACCTCTTAGGTAAAGATCTTGTTCTGAATAATTTTCTTGCCACATGACTTCACAATTAATTGGTGCTCATGTTTAGATGATAGCCTTCCATGTAGGAAGCTGTCCTCAAAATTTACGTGTTGATGATGGATTAAAAAAAAACTTCACTGAATTCATTTTCCTCGCGTAGATAAAATATATGTACACTGTTCATATTCGCCCTGCATTTGAGTATTTCGACCTTCTTACCCTGGCATTCCCAACATTCCCAAAGCTAGGGACAAGGGAAGTTCTCCAAAATCTGGTATCAGCCATACTCCTGCAAAGTCACGGGGTTTTTTTTCTCCTGTAGAAATTGTATGGGTTCTCCAACCGAATTCACCAACTACATGTATGCCCACTGGGAACTTAGGATTTTTGGATTCGATGATTCTGAAAAAGTGATTAAACAGTAATTGTCGTTTTGTATTATACTGGAGAAAAAATGTTAAAAATTAAAACTAATATTTGAATATTTGTAGGTAAGTACAAATAAATCTGCATATCTATTGTTATTATGACTGCAAATCTGTGGTTCCCTTAATCAATCGAGATAATGGTAATTCTCTAGGAGAGTGTAGATACCTAGTATAGATTTCTATATATTTCTATTCGATAGAAAATATTGGCAAATTAATGTCAAAAGGGAAAACATTAAAGAAAAACATACTTAGCAACTTGTGAACCTATGAATGTTTCTCCAAATTCTAAGCGGGCGGATTGGCCTCTCATGTAAGGATCAACACTTAAGTACACAGCTTCGGCAAGAAATTCTGAAAAAAAAATAGAATATATTATATGGGCATTCGCAGGAAATTTACACAGGGAGCAAAGAAATATTCAAGCATTACCACCTAGAATGTAAAGCCTCCAAGCTTTGAACGTAACGTCACTTCAGTGGTGAGATATACACGGTGGTCACTTTTAAGGTGTACACAAATATTCTTTATCTAAATTCTTCCACAATTTCTTTTATTTCTTCTAATTTAACTTTCTTTCTGTCTCTGACTTTTTAATCCTTCCAATTACAAAACAAACTCCTTTTTTTCTCTCTCTCTCTCGTTTCCCGGATACCACACACGGGTAAAAAGATTTTTCCACTTCACTTAACTTTGTACCTTATTTACTTATAATTAAATAACAAAAATTGAAAAATCCTTTTATTTTCATAATGCACTATCTATTTCTAATTTTAAAAGTTTCTCTATCTCCCTACTAATTTTTTAAATATTCCTTCACATGCTAAATTTCTATTTCTAGTATAATTTCCATTCATTTCGAGAAAATAATGTCACAAGTTCATATAAAATTTTTTCCTCTGGGCTCACCCTGTAGAGTTATTAGCTCTTGAAGATGAGAATTAAAAATGTTTTTTTTGCTGTAACTTTTGTATTTTTCAATAAATTTTGAAAATTTTTTGGCTGGATATAATTTTTGAAGCTGCTTTGGATGATAATATGAAATCCTCTATAATAATTATGGGGGCCCGGGGGCAAAGCACCCCCCACCAAAATTTCTAGAAAAAAAAAATTTGTTCCACTATACCCCAAATTTTCCATCATTTTATAAAAATTTATGGTATTTTACGTAAAAAAGGTATACTTGTTGAATATCCATAAAATAGATATTTTTTGAGATAAACCCGTTTAAAGAGGAAGGTACCATTTAATTTGAGACATTTTATTTAACAGAAACACAGGTTTAATCGTAGTTGGCTTTTACATATCAGAATAAAGGACAAATAATTTGCAATAGCAGTGTTCCAAATTATGAGAATTTGGACTTAACTAAACTAACTAAACGAAAAGTGCATGACAATCAAAATTTTGTAACTAATATAATTCATAATAAATTCTCAATATTAGTTCCACCTTCTCTTATACAAATACGAGCTCGTTTAACAGAAGACTGTTGCACTCTCCATAACATTTCAGGATTTTGTCGTATTTCATTTGCACAATAAAAAATCCTTTCTTCTAATTCTTCTCTAGTGGTTACAGGTGTGGAATAAACAAGATTTTTCAAGTGCCCCCAAAAGAAAAAGTCAAGTGGGTTCATATCTGGAGTTCGGGCAGGCCAATGAATAGGTCCACCGCGACCTATCCAGCGATTAGGATATACCTCGTTTAAATGGTCCCTTACTGCAGCACTAAAGTGAGGCGGCGCCCCATCGTGCATGAATATCAGTGCATTTCTGGTTTCAAGATCAACATCTTCTAACAGTTGTGGTAATTGATGCACA